CTTCACATACGACGCATCTTGGTATGTATGTCTTCTCAGTCACGTTGTTGATCCTTTGAGTCTTCCTTTGTGGTGCGGCTGTAATAGGCGGTGTCATCTGTTCGGGCAGCGCATAGGGTCCACACAGTTCTGCTTCCCTTTTGAAGAACTTCTCTATCTTGATGAGGCAAGGGTCTTCACGTGGCTGCATGGCTGAGAAGTCGTAGTACCTATAACGCAGAGTTGGCGTCAGTTTGTCTACTATTGTCTTCGCGAGTTCAGGATTGTACATGTAGTTAAAACAACCCAAAGTCTTCAGTGTCGCCACTACGTTGGAGATCTTGGTGGCGAATATGCATATGTCTCTTGGTGACTCAGTAAGGCGCGGCAGACCTCTAAGCGTCTCCATCTCCAGCATGGCTATTGACTCTGGTCTTCCAAATCTTGACTCCAAAGTCTTCATTACTTCAGGCGGGTGTGCGTTGGTCATAAGTAGGCCTTCAACTGCTTCCTTGGCCTTCCCTTTCAAGTTTCTTCTGAGTCGATTCGTATTTTCAACTACGCTGAATGTCGCTTCTGTCTCGTAGTAGGCGGCGCGAAAGGGTAGCCATTCCTGATGAGACCCGCTGAAGAATGGTAACTCAACGAACTTAGGTCGTTGGGCGGCGCTGACAGCCCGAGTGATGGCTTCAGCCAGGAGGGCTAGGTCAGTTTGACCTCCCGCCGGTGACTGATGTGTTTCTTCGTGCCTTGGTTCTTCTGCGTGGGCGGCTGTTGGTTCTTCTATGGCATGGTGAGGTTCGTTGGTGATTGCTAACACCGGGCGATTCACTTGATTCTCCAACCAGTCGTCCACTCTTGTATTGACTTCTGATCTTGAGTAGAGGGATGCGTCATCTTCTTCTTCCTCCTCCTCTTCTGAGTCTTCCCTTTCTAAGGCAGCAAGGCGTGCTGCGGCTAATTCCACTTGAAGGCGTAGTAAATCTTCTTTCGCCTTTGCAAGCTTGAGCTGCTTCGTTCTACTGCGTGTAGATCCCCCTCCACCTCCCTTCTTGCTGGGCGGGCGGGGTTCCTGTAGCCCGGTTTGCTTTGATGGACCGGCGGTGCTTCTTATGGCTCGCTTCACTGTAGAAGTTTCTGTTTCTCGGTGAGTTGCTCTGGTGACAGTAGCGGGCGGCTTCATCAGCTGTTTGGCCTTCGCACCTGCAGTTAGTGTCGTCGCCGCGGATGGTGTTACGGAAGGAGCGACGGCGCTGGCGGGGTGCGTGGCGGGGGCGGCGGTTGCGGCTGAGGCTGAGGTGGCGGCGGACGAAGTGGTCGCTGCGGTGGCGGAAGTCACAGTGGATGGATCAGTCGCCGCGGAGGTGTCTGTATACTCCGAAGTCTCCGTGGCGGTCGTCCCTGTAGCTGTTGATTCCGTACTGGCTTCCGCACTGGTGGTACCGGTCGCCGAGGTGGTAGCCTTGGACGACGACGGCTTGCTGCCCCTTCCCTCAGAGCGCGTAACGGCCATGCTGTCAGCTGACTTTTTCTTAGAATAATCTTGAGTCTTGAAAAACGATTTCCGAGGAGTCTTCTTAATTATTTTTCTTCAGGTAATTATTCCCCACAAGATTCGGCTGGCGAAGGACCATTAAATGTGCCCTACAGGCACATTTGTGTGCTGGATTGGTGGAGTAAAACCGCTGCGATATTTTTCTTTCTTCTATATTTGGTGTTTTCCTTGAGGTAGCTGGCCGCCGACTGTGTCGAACGACGTTTTTTTTTTTTTTTTTTGCACCCGAAGCAATTGGAAAAGGGCTACCCCGGAGGGAGGCGGAAATGCATTACGCATACCACGACAGCCGGTCTATCGTGGTTATGTGGGACTCACTGTGACTACCTACTGGGGAACCTAAGTGATACCCACTAAAACCGCCTTTGGGGACTGGCAACTAGCTGTTTAAAGCTTCTTATGCCGTATCCGAAGCGACCCTCTTTTGGGAAAAGAGGGCGCAGGCGGCTATTAGCCGCTGAGGGAGTGCCTACGAAGGCAAATTAATTATGAATAACTTAATTAGAGTTGGCCTGAGCCGCCAGGAGGCAGTTCAGGTCGTTTGAAAGTTTATTAGGCGGGTCCGAGAGGGAGTTTCGACGACAGAAAAGGTTTTGAACTACTTGGAGTTCATTAATAATTTTAGGGTTAGAGTGGGCGAAAATGGGGCCCGCGTAGGACATGACTGGTCGTATACAGACCTTATAAAGGGTACGCTTGTTTCTGAGGGACATTTTACTGTGTCGGCCCAACATACTGTTGAGCCTATTCAGGTAAAAACGTGCGTGACGGGTTACTCTTTTGACGTGGGGCCTGAAAGTTAGCCCTGTGTCTAGAGTGACACCTAAATATTTGGCAGACGTATGCCAGGGGACAGGGGTCCCTAGCATACGTATTGGTGGAGTGTTTTTGAGACGGCGTCGTTTATAATCGAAGTGAACGGCGGAGCTCTTCTCCGGGTTCACATCGATGCGCCATTTTTTGAACCAAGCTCCTAGGTCATCAACTGACTTTTGGACCTTGTTCCGTATGAAAGGTAGCGAGATACCTTTACAGTAGAGAGCAGTGTCGTCTGCGAAGAGGGAGAGCTGAACACCTTTGGGCGGAATGGGAATGTCGTTGGTGAACAGTATGTACAGCAGAGGAGCAAGAACTGAGCCCTGAGGGACACCACTTTTGATGGGGCGTTGTGAAGATAGCGTGCCTTCGTGTCTAAAACGAAAGGTACGATGATTAAGATAAGAGGCCACGAGACGTACTAGACGATCGGGGAGACCTATTTTGTATAGTTTGTAGATAAGGCCTGTATGCCAGACTCTATCGAAGGCTTTGGCGATGTCGAAAAAGACCGCGATAGTCTTATGACGACGGGGATAAAAACCGCTGAGGATATATTCCACAATACGGTGAACTTATTGGGGGCAGGAGTGTTTCGCTCGGAAACCGAATTGATGGGGAATGATAAGAGGGTCACCGTCTGTGGGAAACAGATGGCGCCTCATGCGATTTTGGATGATTCTTTCAAAGAGCTTGCCCATGGCCTTGAGGAGGCTAATGGGGCGATGACTGGAGGGGAGGTTGAGAGGCTTGCCTGGCTTGGGAATACCAATCACAGTTGCCTCTTTCCACGTAGTGGGAAAGTAACTAAGGTTGAAGCAGGCGTTGAAGATAATAGATAAAAGGGTTAACACCTGCTCGGGAAAGTTTTTAAGGGCTTGGTTGGATATGCCATCCGCGCCCTGAGCCTTTTTAGGTTTAAGTCCTTTAATGAGGGATGAAATCTCATCATTGGACACAGAGATAGGTTCGGAGGCCGTAGGGGGTGAGTTCCAGCGGCGGACCTCATCCTCCACTGCCTGGACGTGTGAAGGGTCGACGGGTTGAGAGCTAAGAGAGCATTGAGCGGCAATACTGTCTGCAAAGCACTCAGCCTTTTCCTCGTCCTCGAAGGCAACCGAACCGTCGGGGCGGGAGAGAGGGGGAGTGTGGGTTATAGCGTCTATACGGAGGGCTCTAGCCATCTGATAGTACGCTGTATGAGAGGGAGATATATTCTCCATGAGCTTACTCTTTTCGAGGTCTCGAAATTCAGAGAGGCGGAAACGGAGTTCTCGTTGAAGACGATTGGCCGTGCGCCTATATTCGGGCGTGGGATATTTTGCTGCTCTCCGGAAAGCAGCTTTCTTGGCTTTTAATAAGTTGCTAATATGTAGGGGAAGCCCACTATTCTTAGCAACCGGGACTTCCTTTTCATTCTCCTTAAGGGAGGTTTTAATAAGGGTGGAGAGTGAATCGACCGCGGTGTCGATTTTTTCGGGACTGTCTAAGTCAGACGATAGGGAGATGGGAGAGTTCTGTGAGTCCAGAGTTTTCGCTAGGGACTCCTTGAAGCCCTTCCAATTTGTGAAGGTTTTAGTAGAGGGTGTTGGGAGTGGTGGCTGATGGCCAAGAATGAGAGAGACCGGTCGGTGGTCGGATCCTAGATCGTCTAGTGTCTCGATTGCCCTAAGGTTGAGAGAAATTCCTTTGAGTAACGCAAAATCTAGTACATCGGGTGTATAGTCGGTGTTATCGGGAAAGTGAGTAACACCGAGAGGACTGTGAACGGTAATATCAAGAGACTGCGTGATATCGAGCAGTAACTTGCCACTACGGGTGTTAGTACGGCATGTCCATTCAGTATGCTTGGAGTTAAAATCTCCAAACATAATGACTGGGTTACTTAAAGATAAAATAGCCTCAAAATCTCTTTTGAGGGGAAGGGTTCCCGCGGGGATGTAGCAGGAGGCTATGAGAATGGACTGATGTCCAGTCATAGCTAGCCTGCATACCGTGGCTTCCATATTGGTAAGCTGCGGAGTAGAAATGGGAGAGCAATGGAGTGTCTTCTTGTAATAAATGGCCGTACCGCCACCTTGGCGGTCGATCCTGTCATTACGAAGAAGAGAAAAGTCTTTAATAGAAAGGCCTTTAGTGTCCTTAGTTTTGAGGTTAGTTTCCTGTAGGAGGAAGAAATCGGCTTCACGACTTCGAAGAAAGAGCTTAAGTTCTGGGAGGTTATTTCGCAAACCGCGAATATTAAACGATACAAGCGATAAACCCTTAGGTTTGATACGACCGTGGGATTTTGGTAGAGCAAACTGCTCTGACATCGTGAAGTTAAGTTAATGAAGTTAACTTAACTTACACAAAAGATTATGATGCTCTGCAAGAGCGAGGAGACGGTCCTGAGGGGACCTCGCAGCGCGCAATTTGCGTGCTAACACAGCGATTTCCCCAACGTCGATGTTCCTAATAGCGGAATACACCGTTTTTGTGCCGGACGGGCGTAATTCTCCGGAGTAAATGTTGTCGGAGATACCCCGCGAGTCGCTCACGTCCTACACCTGTAGGTTCCAGACTCCTCCAACTGCCGTCTTTCACTGCCGTCTCTTTGGTTGCTGCGGATAAACTGTGGACTGAGGTTCAAAATTAAAATGCACGATTTGTAAATTAAAATAGCAAGGGAGTGGCCAGCGGATCGACTAATTAATTTGTCGCGAGATTTTACACTGTTATTTATTTATCACTATTTTTCAACTATGATTGTTCACTATATATTTTAAAAACACAGATTTAATTAAACACACAGTAATATTAAAATTTCTATTGGTTTTCTAAAATTTCTATTCGTATTTTTAAAATATCTGTTGGTAATATCAAATTTCTATTGGCAGTAACAAGTTTCTATTGGTATTCTCTACAATTTCTATTGGTTATTTTAAATATCTATTGAAAGTAACAAATTTCTATTGGTAGTATCCAAAATTTCTATTGGTAGCAGCTGGTTTTCTAACACTACTGACTAGCAGCTATTAATCAACTAAAATTAGTTGAATTTAAACACTTTTGTAACTGCGAATATCAGTTACCACTTTTTCCGTCTAGCTAACACTTTTCACGAAATGTAACGGCGAAATTTCCGTTACCACTTATTTCAGCTAGCCAACACTTTTTCACTATATGTAACTGCGAATATCAGTTACCACTATTTTTGGCTAGCTGACACTATTTTTCTATGTGCAACTGAGAATTTTCAGTTGCCACTTTTTCCGACTATGTGTAACTGCTATTTTTCAGTTACGACCTTTTTCGGCTAGCTAAACTTTTCTATTTCACTTTAACTTTTCACTGTGTTCTGCTACTAGTCACTTCAGCTACTACCGGATACTGCTGCTTGTTACTGGTAGTTCTTCCTACTACAATGTTACTGTGATTTGCCCCCATAAGGTAGACTTCGGCTATACTCTATAGAGAGCCGCTTGCCAATTCCCATTTGCCTCTTTATTTTCAATCATTTTTCTTTATGCAAATGGCACAAATTGCAACTTTTCTATATAATACAAATCTTAACTCTAACATGCTATACATCATTAAATAGACATTTTTGTTCTACATTAGTATGCGATAAAGGATAATTAATATATTTACATTTAACAAAGTTATTCATTGAAATGTCCTAAACTTTTACACTAATTGGTCATATTAATTCTTTAATTATCCTATAACTTTTAAATCGTGCTTAATTATACAAAATATTTCTTTATTATAACGATCTATACATCATATGCTAACTAAATACCATATTTACAACTCTTTTCAGACATAAAATTATTCTCATTAATTTTTTGCTTAAAACTGTTACGCAGTTAATTTAAATTTCCAGAAAGTTCTATAGCGCGGCGCGCTGTGATTGGTCGATATTTTCTTAAACAAAATAAAGTTGTTTATATTAACTATTGTCAAATCGACCTTCTATACAAACATATTGAGAGTTGTAAATACATGGTGAAACTATATTTAATACATTATTTAGTCAATTTTTCCGTATTTTCATTTTTTAAACAAATAAATATTCCTTAATCACTTTCTCGTTTAAAGTCATTTTTGCCGTTGTGAACAGTCATTTTGGCCGTCTCGAACAGTTTTTAGGTCATCAGCCATTGAGGGCTGTGATTGTTGTGGGGCGGAGTTTGTCCGCGGTGGGTCTGCCTTTTTCGGGCCCCAGGGAAAGACTGGAGGCTGCATAGGCTTAGAGAAGCCCGGAGGGGGCCGAATAATGCCCTGAGGGGGCCTAGGGGGACCCTGAGGGGGTCGATAGAAGCCCTGGATGGGCTGAGAAAGGCCCTGACGGGGCCGTTGGTAAAGAGTCGGGAATGAGCGGTCATTGACCGGCGGTGGAGCTTGCCTACTGGGGCGAGGATGAGGTGCGCAAGGGCAGCCTCTGTAGTTAGCCGGGTGGCCTGTTTGCTTACACAGGACGCACGCGGGTGGGGATTCGGCGTCTTTGGGCCGATGACAATCTTTAGTGTTATGGGGTTCAAGGCACTTAACGCACCTGGGTGGGGCAGAGCAGTTGGCCGCCGCATGACCATATAGCTGGCAGCGGTGGCACTGCGCCGGGAACCCGCGCCTATGTGGGGGCTCAACCTTCACTCTCGACAGGCCACACACTGTGTGTACCTGCCGGAAGATGGCTTTTGCCTCCGGCACGTTAGTTAAGATGACTAGGACCAGGTTGAACCTCTGGCCCGTTCTACTGTGCATCTTGTGCACGGCTTCTACAGGGAAACCTTGGGACTTAAGGTCCTCAAGGATTTCCTCGTTGGAAAATTCGAATGGCACGCCGCGGATGACGGCCCTGACTTTACGCTCTTCCGGAAGAGCGTAAGTATGGTAGGAGACTTTTTCGGCTGTGAATAGCCTGGTGATACTACGGAAGGCATCGATCGAGTTGGGAATGATTTTAATAGTCTCCCCGAGGTTAATCGCATGGTCATATTTAATGCCTGCGTCGTATAAGGATTTCGACAGCTTGGTGAATAATGCCTTGTCTCTTAGGAAGACAGGGGGCGGGACTTGCTTCTTTGCAAGGATTGGGACACAGCGGGAAGCTGGCTTTGATGGTGGGGCGATGTCCATTGACATTAGGGGAGCCGTAGCAGCAGCGGGGGCTGCGGGGGCAGAGACGGCAGCGGGAGCTGCGGGGTTTGAGGCAGCAACGGGGGCTGCGGAGGTTGAAGGAGCGGCAGGGGCCGCTGAGACGGGAGGTGTGCGGTTTTTCGCGGTGCGTTTACCGCCGCGTTTTGAGGAGACAGTCGTGAAGGATGAGTCACCGGTTCCGTCGGAGTCACAGGACTCCGATGAATCGGTGCCAGAATAGGTGGCGGGCCTCTTCCGGGGGGCCGATGCAGTGGACTCAGACTCGGAGCATGCGTACTCCATGTCTAGAAGGGCGAAAGAGTTCTTGGACTCTAGGTAGGCCGCTATAACGGGCGGCGGTTGAGTTGCCTGAGGGGCATATGAGGCAATAGTTGCCACGATTGCGGCGAGAGCCGAATTATCCAGCCTATTAAGGCCTGACACGATGGACCCTATAAGGTCTTGTTTGGACATGATGCTGAGAAATGAATGGGACTGGGGGGATGCTGTTCTGAAAAGAACATAGACGTTCTGAACCTAAGCAGTAAGGGCGGGATCACCGTTCTCAGAAGAACGGGACGTTCTTTATTCAAGGAGTAATGCCCTTACTCTTAAAAGAGCAGGGCCTTGCTCTGAAAAGAGCAAGTAACTCCCTAGAAACAGTATACACGTACACGTTATACAAATAAATAACGAAAACAAAAATAGAAATAGTTAACAAAAAAATATAACAGGTAACAAGCGGAGGTCAGTCAAACCTCCCCGCCCGAGGACAGGGGGGCAAGAACTGATAGCAGAAATGACTCACCAAGGCGTCGACGCTGTACAGCGCGAGCAGGACAGCGGAGGCGCGAGAGCGAGAGAGCACTACCGTACGGGGACGGCTGCGCGGACTACCTGAACGACCGCTCGAGAGCGGTGTCACAGGCGGAACGAACGACGAAAATCGCCCCTCTTTTATACCGCCTCGGGCTGGGTCAATGGATACGGCCGACGCATCGTACAAATGGCGTCGACCAATCAGCGCGAGGCGTGACAGAGCAAGTGAAGATGCTGAGTCCCGTTACATTGTTTGTCTTAAGCTAGTTCTATATCTTACTGAGTCATTGTTTACATTGTTTACCTTAAGCTAGTTCTGTTATACAAAGTGACCAACTAATTTTATTACACAAATATAAACTCTACACTATTATTTTCTTAACATAAAATGCTTATATCCTATCTAAACTATAATCTCTATTAATATAAATGTTTATCCTATCTAAGTACAAACTAACTATAATATTTATTCCATTAATATAAATGTTTTTGTCTTATTTATGTATCACTATTTGTTTTTCTCTTGTCCCGCACAGTATGAAATATGGCATCTTGATTTTTGTTCTTGTAGTGTTTATGAAACGTTATACCCAGGCTACGACGCGGATGAATTTATTCAATTTACTGTATTTCTTGATAATTTGACCCAAAATATTCATTTCTTGATCTTGGTATGTCGAAATATTCATCTGCTTTACCTTCTTTTGATCTTCATTGGTATACATAACTTGTTTTTTCTTGTTTGTCTTAATAAGTAGGCAGTCAGCTTGGTCCCTGCCACCACAGAGAATGACTCAATAGTTGTGTAGCAGTTAGGCCTCTGCTTGCGCTGTCCACTGGGTCGTGCTGGGACTTTACGTATCGGCAGTCTTGTTTTTTTTTTATAGAATTAGGGTGACAAACGAGCACACAGTCCACCTGATGGTAAGTGGTTGCTGTGGACCAAAGACATCTACATCTATCTTCGTTTGCGAATTAAAATGCAGATGCGTTGTCAGCCGTGAGGACTAAGATAGAATGCCTCTTTTCCAGTAAAATAGTTCTCTGGTTCTCTACACTCACCATACGAAACACTGTTATTTTACGCTGGTATTCTGTGAGAGCCTGGTCCTTCCCCGGTCGAGACGAACCATTCGTGCTACAACTATACTATTGATATAGTCGCAGCACGTAATTAATATAGCTGCAGCATGATTCTGCCACGTTGTGCGGGAATGACGTCGGTATCTTGCTTGACTCTGTTCACTACGAAAGCTTTCCACCTACTTGGATCAGCCTGTAGCCACCCCAGTACCGCCGTGGAGTCAATTCATCCGTATTGTTTGATTTCGTAATTTTCTAAACTCTGTTTTACCTTGAACATAAATTATGCTAACAACACTGCACCATATAATTCAAGTGTAGGTAAAGTTACAGTTTTGCTGACCGGCACTAACCTTGTATTTACCACGACCAGAACCACTGTATTTTGGTCTCCATGATTTATTTGCAGTATATTACGCAAGCGTATGCTTTTGTTGACAAGTCGCAAAATCCATGCAACTCAATAACATCGGTTTCATTTGCCTTGAGCCATTTTTTCGATTTTATGAATATCGTCCCTGATTTTCTGCCGATTTATCGAGAAGTATATCATTCCAAGCGATGTTAGATAGCCACGTAGATCTGAAACGTAGCTTCAAATTGGTAGTTAGTGGTAAAATCCAGCCCAGAGGGTCCCTAAGGGTTGATACGTCAGATAATAAGCTTCTCTTGGTGTAGTTGTCTGACGAGCTTGTATTTTGAATTGGAAATTGAATGAGTCTTCTTGAGGGTTCCGTCTCAACCCTAAGGTCTTTATAGTTTCAACAGCTCAAAACTCAAAACTCCCATCTTGATTGACATTTTCACAGAATTCCGGAATATTAGATGACCACTTCCTGAGATTAAATCCGCCTGCTTTCAATAGTTTGATGAGGTCATTCTTCAATCCCTTTGCAAGGTGAGCGCTATGACAGCCATGGATAACGATGTGTAGGCTATTCCGTAAAACAGAAGCTGCTTGAGTATTGGTGTAGTATTTTTCTTCATCATCTGCTAACTTCTTCAGAGTCATCTTTTCATCATCATCTAAGTATGACGTGGCCTTAGTGCCACATGTGACTGCAGTGAGATGGTATTACTGCAATGGTTCTTCTGGGCCATCTCGCCATATTATTTTGTGGTATTTTTGGTGTCCTTCATTCAGCCAAATTTGGCCAAAACATTTTATTTTATATCAGCTGTGTATGCAAACTGATATTGACGCCACCCTAAGATTAGTTTTTGGAGATCTTGTTGTAGATTTGGGCCTTTGTGCATAAGATCATTAAGGCTCAACCCTGTCGAAGTTTTTGTCAAGGCATTGAATACAAACCTGATTTTTGTAGTTGTTGTCTCCGGGCGCTCGACACAATGGTGCGGTAAAAGTTCCAGTTTCTTTTTACCGATTTCATATGACCCAATGCTAGGTATTCTTGAATAAATAATTTATATTTTTCTGCGGTATTATTTTCTTTTGTGAATCGTCGTTCCAATTGTTTGAATTGCGCAATTGCCTTTTGTTTCGATGTGCCCACGTATTGTGCAATGTTTTACTTCAGGGGAAGTTTCACTTGGTATCTTCCATTTTTTTTTATAGGATAAGGGTGACAAACGAGCACACAGTCCACCTGATGGTAAGTGGTTGCTGTGGCCCATAGACATCGACATCAAACAAAATGCAGATGCGTTGTCACCCGTGAGGACTAAGATGAAATGCCTCATTTCCAGTAAAAGGGTCTCCGGTTCTCTATACTCACCATATGAAACACAGCAGCATTAAGCTGCTATTTTACGCTGGTATTCTGTGAGAGCGTGGTCCTTCCCCGGTCGAGCCGACCCATTCGTGCTAGAACTATACTATTAATATAGCTGTAGCGTGGCTCTACCACGTAGAATTTAAATCTTCCATCTATTTCCATCTTCGCGTCTTTTTGTTGTTGATTTATACAAATCGATGCATGCTTGATCTTCTGACGTGAGAGTAGACTCTTGAGTAATGTTCTCTATCTCCCAAAACTGATGGATGTTTTGTAAATTATTCAGCAAAAAATAAGCGGAGGCCTGTGTCCAGCTGTGATCGAGCGTGATTATTGAGGCAAATCTTTATGGTTATTCATCATCATCATCATTACTGCCCTTCACCAGTCGACTGCTGAATATAAGCCTCCCCAAGGAATGCTACAAAGCACGGTCCTGAGCCACCTGCATCCATCGACTTCCTGCATATCTTACCAGGTCGTCACTCCATCTAGTGGGGGGACGCCCTGGTTATTATTGGCAACTATTGCAAACTACTAGAATTATCTAACAATTTACATTGTCTCTGATTGATACCTTACTATTCCGTCAGTAGCCTAATGGCAGGGCGTGGACCGCGAACTCGAAAGGTCGTGGGTTCGAATCCGCCATTCGACTACTATCGTGAACCACTTCTAACACAAGCATTTTAAGCTTACCAGAAGTGGTTAAAGGGAATATTAGTAATGTTTAATAGCATTACCAGTATTTTTTTAATTAAAAAATAAAATACCTGACGGATTACATATAGCTTATTCTTTAATAGCGCATAAGTTCACAGATGATTTCTGTGAACAGATTTAGATGACTGCAGTATCAACTATTGAACAACTTTGATGTCGCTTTCCATTGCAGTTTCGCACGTTGCTTTTTTTACGTCTGATATTTCCTATCGAGATAGTCATCTAAATCTGTCAACCACGTCATAATTCTATTAAAAATAATAAAAAATAAATATAAAAAACAAAAACTAACCACAAGATAGGATGCCTCCAAGTCCGCAGAGCGCGAAGTATTTGGGCGAGGCGAACTCGCAGAAGTCGCCTTGCACCACCGCCGCCGCCGCCATGCCACTCTACAATAAAAACATTATATATAGCCTGTCTTACATTGTATCCAAACACAGGTCCCAATTTATCACACAAATGCTAGTACTTCTTATTGTGCATACATAAATAATAGACTCTTCAAATTGGCACACTTCGTTTCTGGTTGGACCAATATCTAACATATCTATCTAACATTTTAAAAGCTGGTAAAGTAGAACAAATAATAAACAAAGCCCTCAGCTCTCATAATTCTTTGATCATTGGGCAACCCTGCAGTACACTAGTGTCATTGAACATGCTACCCGAAGGCAGAGTGACATCTTGACATCACTGGACAACACCACCCTGTACTACAGCACCCCTCTGGCATGAGTTGTCATCATCGGGCATGTTTAAATTTTTATTTATTTAAATCTGTGCCGGACGGGCGAAACTCTCCGGAGTAAATGTTGTCGGAGATACCCCGCGAGTCGCTCACGTCCTACACCTGTAGGTTCCAGACTCCTCCAACTGCCGTCTTTCACTGCCGTCTCTTTGGTTGCTGCGGATAAACTGTGGACTGAGGTTCAAAATTAAAATGCACGATTTGTAAATTAAAATAGCAAGGGAGTGGCCAGCGGATCGACTAATTAATTTGTCGCGAGATTTTACACTGTTATTTATTTATCACTATTTTTCAACTATGATTGTTCACTATATATTTTAAAAACACAGATTTAATTAAACACACAGTAATATTAAAATTTCTATTGGTTTTCTAAAATTTCTATTCGTATTTTTAAAATATCTGTTGGTAATATCAAATTTCTATTGGCAGTAACAAGTTTCTATTGGTATTCTCTACAATTTCTATTGGTTATTTTAAATATCTATTGAAAGTAACAAATTTCTATTGGTAGTATCCAAAATTTCTATTGGTAGCAGCTGGTTTTCTAACACTACTGACTAGCAGCTATTAATCAACTAAAATTAGTTGAATTTAAACACTTTTGTAACTGCGAATATCAGTTACCACTTTTTCCGTCTAGCTAACACTTTTCACGAAATGTAACGGCGAAATTTCCGTTACCACTTATTTCAGCTAGCCAACACTTTTTCACTATATGTAACTGCGAATATCAGTTACCACTATTTTTGGCTAGCTGACACTATTTTTCTATGTGCAACTGAGAATTTTCAGTTGCCACTTTTTCCGACTATGTGTAACTGCTATTTTTCAGTTACGACCTTTTTCGGCTAGCTAAACTTTTCTATTTCACTTTAACTTTTCACTGTGTTCTGCTACTAGTCACTTCAGCTACTACCGGATACTGCTGCTTGTTACTGGTAGTTCTTCCTACTACAATGTTACTGTGATTTGCCCCCATAAGGTAGACTTCGGCTATACTCTATAGAGAGCCGCTTGCCAATTCCCATTTGCCTCTTTATTTTCAATCATTTTTCTTTATGCAAATGGCACAAATTGCAACTTTTCTATATAATACAAATCTTAACTCTAACATGCTATACATCATTAAATAGACATTTTTGTTCTACATTAGTATGCGATAAAGGATAATTAATATATTTACATTTAACAAAGTTATTCATTGAAATGTCCTAAACTTTTACACTAATTGGTCATATTAATTCTTTAATTATCCTATAACTTTTAAATCGTGCTTAATTATACAAAATATTTCTTTATTATAACGATCTATACATCATATGCTAACTAAATACCATATTTACAACTCTTTTCAGACATAAAATTATTCTCATTAATTTTTTGCTTAAAACTGTTACGCAGTTAATTTAAATTTCCAGAAAGTTCTATAGCGCGGCGCGCTGTGATTGGTCGATATTTTCTTAAACAAAATAAAGTTGTTTATATTAACTATTGTCAAATCGACCTTCTATACAAACATATTGAGAGTTGTAAATACATGGTGAAACTATATTTAATACATTATTTAGTCAATTTTTCCGTATTTTCATTTTTTAAACAAATAAATATTCCTTAATCACTTTCTCGTTTAAAGTCATTTTTGCCGTTGTGAACAGTCATTTTGGCCGTCTCGAACAGTTTTTAGGTCATCAGCCATTGAGGGCTGTGATTGTTGTGGGGCGGAGTTTGTCCGCGGTGGGTCTGCCTTTTTCGGGCCCCAGGGAAAGACTGGAGGCTGCATAGGCTTAGAGAAGCCCGGAGGGGGCCGAATAATGCCCTGAGGGGGCCTAGGGGGACCCTGAGGGGGTCGATAGAAGCCCTGGATGGGCTGAGAAAGGCCCTGACGGGGCCGTTGGTAAAGAGTCGGGAATGAGCGGTCATTGACCGGCGGTGGAGCTTGCCTACTGGGGCGAGGATGAGGTGCGCAAGGGCAGCCTCTGTAGTTAGCCGGGTGGCCTGTTTGCTTACACAGGACGCACGCGGGTGGGGATTCGGCGTCTTTGGGCCGATGACAATCTTTAGTGTTATGGGGTTCAAGGCACTTAACGCACCTGGGTGGGGCAGAGCAGTTGGCCGCCGCATGACCATATAGCTGGCAGCGGTGGCACTGCGCCGGGAACCCGCGCCTATGTGGGGGCTCAACCTTCACTCTCGACAGGCCACACACTGTGTGTACCTGCCGGAAGATGGCTTTTGCCTCCGGCACGTTAGTTAAGATGACTAGGACCAGGTTGAACCTCTGGCCCGTTCTACTGTGCATCTTGTGCACGGCTTCTACAGGGAAACCTTGGGACTTAAGGTCCTCAAGGATTTCCTCGTTGGAAAATTCGAATGGCACGCCGCGGATGACGGCCCTGACTTTACGCTCTTCCGGAAGAGCGTAAGTATGGTAGGAGACTTTTTCGGCTGTGAATAGCCTGGTGATACTACGGAAGGCATCGATCGAGTTGGGAATGATTTTAATAGTCTCCCCGAGGTTAATCGCATGGTCATATTTAATGCCTGCGTCGTATAAGGATTTCGACAGCTTGGTGAATAATGCCTTGTCTCTTAGGAAGACAGGGGGCGGGACTTGCTTCTTTGCAAGGATTGGGACACAGCGGGAAGCTGGCTTTGATGGTGGGGCGATGTCCATTGACATTAGGGGAGCCGTAGCAGCAGCGGGGGCTGCGGGGGCAGAGACGGCAGCGGGAGCTGCGGGGTTTGAGGCAGCAACGGGGGCTGCGGAGGTTGAAGGAGCGGCAGGGGCCGCTGAGACGGGAGGTGTGCGGTTTTTCGCGGTGCGTTTACCGCCGCGTTTTGAGGAGACAGTCGTGAAGGATGAGTCACCGGTTCCGTCGGAGTCACAGGACTCCGATGAATCGGTGCCAGAATAGGTGGCGGGCCTCTTCCGGGGGGCCGATGCAGTGGACTCAGACTCGGAGCATGCGTACTCCATGTCTAGAAGGGCGAAAGAGTTCTTGGACTCTAGGTAGGCCGCTATAACGGGCGGCGGTTGAGTTGCCTGAGGGGCATATGAGGCAATAGTTGCCACGATTGCGGCGAGAGCCGAATTATCCAGCCTATTAAGGCCTGACACGATGGACCCTATAAGGTCTTGTTTGGACATGATGCTGAGAAATGAATGGGACTGGGGGGATGCTGTTCTGAAAAGAACATAGACGTTCTGAACCTAAGCAGTAAGGGCGGGATCACCGTTCTCAGAAGAACGGGACGTTCTTTATTCAAGGAGTAATGCCCTTACTCTTAAAAGAGCAGGGCCTTGCTCTGAAAAGAGCAAGTAACTCCCTAGAAACAGTATACACGTACACGTTATACAAATAAATAACGAAAACAAAAATAGAAATAGTTAACAAAAAAATATAACAGGTAACAAGCGGAGGTCAGTCAAACCTCCCCGCCCGAGGACAGGGGGGCAAGAACTGATAGCAGAAATGACTCACCAAGGCGTCGACGCTGTACAGCGCGAGCAGGACAGCGGAGGCGCGAGAGCGAGAGAGCACTACCGTACGGGGACGGCTGCGCGGACTACCTGAACGACCGCTCGAGAGCGGTGTCACAGGCGGAATGAACGACGAAAATCGCCCCTCTTTTATACCGCCTCGGGCTGGGTCAATGGATACGGCCGACGCATCGTACAAATGGCGTCGACCAATCAGCGCGAGGCGTGACAGAGCAAGTGAAGATGCTGAGTCCCGTTACATTGTTTGTCTTAAGCTAGTTCTATATCTTACTGAGTCATTGTTTACATTGTTTACCTTAAGCTAGTTCTGTTATACAAAGTGACCAACTAATTTTATTACACAAATATAAACTCTACACTATTATTTTCTTAACATAAAATGCTTATATCCTATCTAAACTATAATCTCTATTAATATAAATGTTTATCCTATCTAAGTACAAACTAACTATAATATTTATTCCATTAATATAAATGTTTTTGTCTTATTTATGTATCACTATTTGTTTTTCTCTTGTCCCGCACAGTATGAAATATGGCATCTTGATTTTTGTTCTTGTAGTGTTTATGAAACGTTATACCCAGGCTACGACGCGGATGAATTTATTCAATTTACTGTATTTCTTGATAATTTGACCCAAAATATTCATTTCTTGATCTTGGTATGTCGAAATATTCATCTGCTTTACCTTCTTTTGATCTTCATTGGTATACATAACTTGTTTTTTCTTGTTTGTCTTAATAAGTAGGCAGTCAGCTTGGTCCCTGCCACCACAGAGAATGACTCAATAGTTGTGTAGCAGTTAGGCCTCTGCTTGCGCTGTCCACTGGGTCGTGCTGGGACTTTACGTATCGGCAGTCTTGTTTTTTTTTTATAGAATTAGGGTGACAAACGAGCACACAGTCCACCTGATGGTAAGTGGTTGCTGTGGACCAAAGACATCTACATCTATCTTCGTTTGCGAATTAAAATGCAGATGCGTTGTCAGCCGTGAGGACTAAGATAGAATGCCTCTTTTCCAGTAAAATAGTTCTCTGGTTCTCTACACTCACCATACGAAACACTGTTATTTTACGCTGGTATTCTGTGAGAGCCTGGTCCTTCCCCGGTCGAGACGAACCATTCGTGCTACAACTATACTATTGATATAGTCGCAGCACGTAATTAATATAGCTGCAGCATGATTCTGCCACGTTGTGCGGGAATGACGTCGGTATCTTGCTTGACTCTGTTCACTACGAAAGCTTTCCACCTACTTGGATCAGCCTGTAGCCACCCCAGTACCGCCGTGGAGTCAATTCATCCGTATTGTTTGATTTCGTAATTTTCTAAACTCTGTTTTACCTTGAACATAAATTATGCTAACAACACTGCACCATATAATTCAAGTGTAGGTAAAGTTACAGTTTTGCTGACCGGCACTAACCTTGTATTTACCACGACCAGAACCACTGTATTTTGGTCTCCATGATTTATTTGCAGTATATTACGCAAGCGTATGCTTTTGTTGACAAGTCGCAAAATCCATGCAACTCAATAACATCGGTTTCATTTGCCTTGAGCCATTTTTTCGATTTTATGAATATCGTCCCTGATTTTCTGCCGATTTATCGAGAAGTATATCATTCCAAGCGATGTTAGATAGCCACGTAGATCTGAAACGTAGCTTCAAATTGGTAGTTAGTGGTAAAATCCAGCCCAGAGGGTCCCTAAGGGTTGATACGTCAGATAATAAGCTTCTCTTGGTGTAGTTGTCTGACGAGCTTGTATTTTGAATTGGAAATTGAATGAGTCTTCTTGAGGGTTCCGTCTCAACCCTAAGGTCTTTATAGTTTCAACAGCTCAAAACTCAAAACTCCCATCTTGATTGACATTTTCACAGAATTCCGGAATATTAGATGACCACTTCCTGAGATTAAATCCGCCTGCTTTCAATAGTTTGATGAGGTCATTCTTCAATCCCTTTGCAAGGTGAGCGCTATGACAGCCATGGATAACGATGTGTAGGCTATTCCGTAAAACAGAAGCTGCTTGAGTATTGGTGTAGTATTTTTCTTCATCATCTGCTAACTTCTTCAGAGTCATCTTTTCATCATCATCTAAGTATGACGTGGCCTTAGTGCCACATGTGACTGCAGTGAGATGGTATTACTGCAATGGTTCTTCTGGGCCATCTCGCCATATTATTTTGTGGTATTTTTGGTGTCCTTCATTCAGCCAAATTTGGCCAAAACATTTTATTTTATATCAGCTGTGTATGCAAACTGATATTGACGCCACCCTAAGATTAGTTTTTGGAGATCTTGTTGTAGATTTGGGCCTTTGTGCATAAGATCATTAAGGCTCAACCCTGTCGAAGTTTTTGTCAAGGCATTGAATACAAACCTGATTTTTGTAGTTGTTGTCTCCGGGCGCTCGACACAATGGTGCGGTAAAAGTTCCAGTTTCTTTTTACCGATTTCATATGACCCAATGCTAGGTATTCTTGAATAAATAATTTATATTTTTCTGCGGTATTATTTTCTTTTGTGAATCGTCGTTCCAATTGTTTGAATTGCGCAATTGCCTTTTGTTTCGATGTGCCCACGTATTGTGCAATGTTTTACTTCAGGGGAAGTTTCACTTGGTATCTTCCATTTTTTTTTATAGGATAAGGGTGACAAACGAGCACACAGTCCACCTGATGGTAAGTGGTTGCTGTGGCCCATAGACATCGACATCAAACAAAATGCAGATGCGTTGTCACCCGTGAGGACTAAGATGAAATGCCTCATTTCCAGTAAAAGGGTCTCCGGTTCTCTATACTCACCATATGAAACACAGCAGCATTAAGCTGCTATTTTACGCTGGTATTCTGTGAGAGCGTGGTCCTTCCCCGGTCGAGCCGACCCATTCGTGCTAGAACTATACTATTAATATAGCTGTAGCGTGGCTCTACCACGTAGAATTTAAATCTTCCATCTATTTCCATCTTCGCGTCTTTTTGTTGTTGATTTATACAAATCGATGCATGCTTGATCTTCTGACGTGAGAGTAGACTCTTGAGTAATGTTCTCTATCTCCCAAAACTGATGGATGTTTTGTAAATTATTCAGCAAAAAATAAGCGGAGGCCTGTGTCCAGCTGTGATCGAGCGTGATTATTGAGGCAAATCTTTATGGTTATTCATCATCATCATCATTACTGCCCTTCACCAGTCGACTGCTGAATATAAGCCTCCCCAAGGAATGCTACAAAGCACGGTCCTGAGCCACCTGCATCCATCGACTTCCTGCATATCTTACCAGGTCGTCACTCCATCTAGTGGGGGGACGCCCTGGTTATTATTGGCAACTATTGCAAACTACTAGAATTATCTAACAATTTACATTGTCTCTGATTGATACCTTACTATTCCGTCAGTAGCCTAATGGCAGGGCGTGGACCGCGAACTCGAAAGGTCGTGGGTTCGAATCCGCCATTCGACTACTATCGTGAACCACTTCTAACACAAGCATTTTAAGCTTACCAGAAGTGGTTAAAGGGAATATTAGTAATGTTTAATAGCATTACCAGTATTTTTTTAATTAAAAAATAAAATACCTGACGGATTACATATAGCTTATTCTTTAATAGCGCATAAGTTCACAGATGATTTCTGTGAACAGATTTAGATGACTGCAGTATCAACTATTGAACAACTTTGATGTCGCTTTCCATTGCAGTTTCGCACGTTGCTTTTTTTACGTCTGATATTTCCTATCGAGATAGTCATCTAAATCTGTCAACCACGTCATAATTCTATTAAAAATAATAAAAAATAAATATAAAAAACAAAAACTAACCACAAGATAGGATGCCTCCAAGTCCGCAGAGCGCGAAGTATTTGGGCGAGGCGAACTCGCAGAAGTCGCCTTGCACCACCGCCGCCGCCGCCATGCCACTCTACAATAAAAACATTATATATAGCCTGTCTTACATTGTATCCAAACACAGGTCCCAATTTATCACACAAATGCTAGTACTTCTTATTGTGCATACATAAATAATAGACTCTTCAAATTGGCACACTTCGTTTCTGGTTGGACCAATATCTAACATATCTATCTAACATTTTAAAAGCTGGTAAAGTAGAACAAATAATAAACAAAGCCCTCAGCTCTCATAATTCTTTGATCATTGGGCAACCCTGCAGTACACTAGTGTCATTGAACATGCTACCCGAAGGCAGAGTGACATCTTGACATCACTGGACAACACCACCCTGTACTACAGCACCCCTCTGGCATGAGTTGTCATCATCGGGCATGTTTAAATTTTTATTTATTTAAATCTGTGCCGGACGGGCGAAACTCTCCGGAGTAAATGTTGTCGGAGATACCCCGCGAGTCGCTCACGTCCTACACCTGTAGGTTCCAGACTCCTCCAACTGCCGTCTTTCACTGCCGTCTCTTTGGTTGCTGCGGATAAACTGTGGACTGAGGTTCAAAATTAAAATGCACGATTTGTAAATTAAAATAGCAAGGGAGTGGCCAGCGGATCGACTAATTAATTTGTCGCGAGATTTTACACTGTTATTTATTTATCACTATTTTTCAACTATGATTGTTCACTATATATTTTAAAACACAGATTTAATTAAACACACAGTAATATTAAAATTTCTATTGGTTTTCTAAAATTTCTATTCGTATTTTTAAAATATCTGTTGGTAATATTAAATTTCTATTGGCAGTAACAAGTTTCTATTGGTATTCTCTACAATTTCTATTGGTAATTTTAAATATCTATTGAAAGTAACAAATTTCTATTGGCAGTATCCAAAATTTCTATTGGTAGCAGCTGGTTTTCTAACACTACTGACTAGCAGCTATTAATCAACTAAAATTAGTTGAATTTAAACACTTTTGTAACTGCGAATATCAGTTACCACTTTTTCCGTCTAGCTAACACTTTTCACGAAATGTAACGGCGAAATTTCCGTTACCACTTTTTTCAGCTAGCCAACACTTTTTCACTATATGTAACTGCGAATATCAGTTACCACTATTTTTGGCTAGCTGACACTATTTTTCTATGTGCAACTGAGAATTTTCAGTTGCCACTTTTTCCGACTATGTGTAACTGCGATTTTTCAGTTACGACCTTTTTCGGCTAGCTAAACTTTTCTATTTCACTTTAACTTTTCACTGTGTTCTGCTACTAGTCACTTCAGCTACTACCGGATACTGCTGCTTGTTACTGGTAGTTCTTCCTACTACAATGTTACTATGATTTGCCCCCATAAGGTAGACTTCGGCTATACTCTATAGAGAGCCGCTTGCCAATTCCCATTTGCCTCTTTATTTTCAATCATTTTTCTTTATGCAAATGGCACAAATTGCAACTTTTCTATATAATACAAATCTTAACTCTAACATGCTATACATCATTAAATAGACATTTTTGTTCTACATTAGTATGCGATAAAGGATAATTAATATATTTACATTTAACAAAGTTATTCATTGAAATGTCCTAAACTTTTACACTAATTGGTCATATTAATTCTTTAATTATCCTATAACTTTTAAATCGTGCTTAATTATACAAAATATTTCTTTATTATAACGATCTATACATCATATGCTAACTAAATACCATATTTACAACTCTTTTCAGACATAAAATTATTCTCATTAATTTTTTGCTTAAAACTATTACGCAGTTAATTTAAATTTCCAGAAAGTTCTATAGCGCGGCGCGCTGTGATTGGTCGATATTTTCTTAAACAAAATAAAGTTGTTTAAATTAACTATTGTCAAATCGACCTTCTATACAAACATATTGAGAGTTGTAAATACATGGTAAAACTATATTTAATACATTATTTAGTCAATTTTTCCGTATTTTCATTTTTTAAACAAATAAATATTCCTTAATCACTTTCTCGTTTAAAGTCATTTTTGCCGTTGTGAACAGTCATTTTGGCCGTCTCGAACATTTCTCCCGCCGTGCAGCGTCGCGAAGACCCGTCGCAGCGGCGCTGCATAATTTCGGTGAGAGACGTTGCCTCTACTTCGGCAGCGGCACGAGTTTTCTGGTTGGCCTCTTGATTAGTCCATTCGCTGTGCGTACCTCCACAGTGCGGATCTGTCCGTCCGCCCCGGGGTATATGTTTTCAATCCTTCCTCGTGGCCAGGTGTTACGAGGTAACTGGCTGTCAGCTATGAGGACTGGATCGCCCACCTGGAGATCGGGGCCTTGACCGTGGGCCTCCCGCCGGTTTTGAAGTTCCGGCAGATATTCTTTGACCCAACGCTGCCAGAACATGTCAGCGAGTATCTGGGAGCGTCGCCAGTGTTTTTTGCTGTTCGCATCTTTTTCACTAAAAACTCCAGGTGTTGGCAGTCTCGCAGATCCTCCCAATAGGAAGTGATTTGGAGTGATGGACTCGTTGTCTTTGCTGTCTACTGAGATGTGAGTCAATGGTCTGCTGTTTACTGTATATTCCACCTCGCAGAGCAGCGTGGTCAAGACATCTTCGTGCGGATGTCTCTCATGAAGGACGGTGTATAGTGCCGTCTTCACGCATCGAACAAGCCGTTCCCACACCCCTCCCATGAAAGGCGCGGAGGGGGTTATAAATCGCCAGACTATGCCTCGTCGGCTGGCTTCTTCTCGGAAGGCCTCTCGAAGCTCCTTGTCGGCACCGTGCATATTGGTGCCGTTGTCCGAGTAAATCTCGGTGGGACATCCTCGGCGCGCTGCGAATCTTCTTAATGCCAGTATGGCAGAGTCTGCGCTGAGATCTTTCACAATTTCCAAATGTACAGCTCGTGATGTAAGGCAGGTGAAGAGCGCCACGTATCTCTTTTGATGCTGACGTCCCACTGTTACGGAGAGTGGCCCAAAATAATCCAGGCCGGTGAACGTGAACGGTCTCTGGTGATGTGCGAGACGCGTGCTGGGATGATCACCGGTGGCTGGCATGGATGGTTGTGCCTTTCTTATGCGGCACTGAACGCATTGGCTTACTATTCTTTTAGTAGTGGGTCTTAGTCTGATTACCCAGTAATGCTGTCGAACCTCGTTGATGGTTGGTTCGGTCCCGCAATGATGCAGGCTACGATGCGTCCAATCAATATACAATTGGGTGATGTGATGATCACCATCCAATATAGCTGGCCCTTTCATATCTTCAGAGACTCCTTTTACAGCGGCTATTCGACTTCGTAGCGCAATGATCCCGTCTTTCAATTGTATCTGTAGTGGTCGTAGGCGGCTATCATGGGCGACCCTCTTATCGTTACGGAGATCGGCTATCTCTTGTGTGAAGGAGTCTTCCTGGATGACATGTACCAGGAGCTTTTCGGCCTTTCTTATATATTCGGCCTCCAGTGTGATGTATTTGTTTACATCTTTGCTTTTCACCTGACTGGGAGGCTGCGCGAGACGTCGCGGATTGCACTTCGATCTCCTCCAGTCGGGGTCTTCCTCTCTATTTTTTTTTTGTCCTTTTATAAAAGGTCCTGTCGGTTGTTTTGCGGCAGAGTGTTATGAATTGAAGCACTCTGGCCGTAGCTCGCACTAAGCGTTCCCATTTCGAAAATTTCGTCGGATCGGGAATGGCCTCTTTATATAGCGGAGCTCTATATCTTTCTGTGATGGTGAGAGATCTTTCTTCACCAGTAGGTTCGGATGACGTGGGTCGTTCTGTTGGCCATGCTGACGGTTCTTTGTATAGAAATGATGGGCCACTGTACCACTCGTGGTTAGAGTCGAAATTGGGTGGTACGTCCCTCGTAGCGGTGTCAGCTATATTCAATTTTGTGGGTACCCAGCGCCAGTCGTCCACTTTACTATTGTCCTCTATTGCTGCTATTCGATGTGCTACAAAGGGTTTGTAGCTCCTGGAACCTTTCTTTATCCAGGTGAGGACAGTTTTGCTGTCAGTCCAATAAGTGACAGCTTCGGGCTTTACGTGATGCTCCTGGATGACAGCCGCAGCTACGCGACTTCCCATCACGGCGGCTTGTAACTCAAGGCGAGGTATGGATGTTACCTTGAGCGGAGCTACCTTCGCTTTGGCCATGACGAGGCTCACGTACACTTGCCCATCGGGTGTCGTTGCTCTCCAGTAAACTGCCGTTGCGTAGGCGCTTTCACTGGCATCTGAAAATACGTGCACTTGGATGGAGCGTGCGTCGCTGTATCCCGGGTAGCATCTTGGTATGCTTACTGTTTTGAGACGTTCCAGGTGTTGGATCCATGTGGACCAATGGTTACTCAGGTCCTCGTCCAACTCCTGGTCCCAGTCTGTTCCTCGTCTCCACGCTTCCTGCAGTATTTGCTTGGCGCGTATCGTAACTGGGGAGGCGAGACCGAGAGGGTCATACAGCGACATCACTATTTTCAACGCTTCCCTCTTTGTTGGTTTTTTCTGCAGCAAATTGTCCGGGAGTCGAGCGAGCTTTAGGTTGAAGCTCAGCTGATCGGTACTCGGTTTCCAAATTAAACCGAGTATTTTTTCCTCGGTTCCCTTGTCGCCCAGTTTGACTGACTCGGTTGTTTCGTTGTCAGGTTCTAATTCTTTTACGATTTCTGGCGCATTGGAAACCCATTTTCTCAATGTGAAGTGCGCGTTTTTATGTATATCGCGTACTTCCTTCGATATCCGCATTGCATCTTCCAGGGACTGGAAACTATCCAGATAATCATCCATGTAGTGGTTTTGGATGATAGCTTCTACGGCTTCTGGATATTTTTTTATATACCTTTTGGCGTTCCAGTTTTTTGCGAATATCGCTGTGCAGGGTGAACTAGCTGCACCGAATATGATCGACGTCATTCTGTATTGTTGTGGAGCCTCATTGCGTCGATCTCCTCTCCAGAGATATCTCAAGGCATCTCTGTCTTCGGGTCTCACTTTGATTTGCATGAACATTTCCGCTATGTCCGCGGAGACAGCAACATTGTGTCGGCGAAAGCGCATCATGACTCCTGGTAATGACTGTAGTAAGTCTGGACCCGTGAGCAGGAAATCATTCAATGCCATTCCTTTTGTTTTGGCTGCGGCATCGTGTACTATGCGAAACTTTTCTGGTTTCATCGGATTATGGACATCGAAATGAGGTAGATACCATGTCTTTCCTGGTGTACTATTCTTTGGCGCTATTTCGGCGTATCCCTTTTGTATCAGGGAATTCATTTCTTCGTTGTACTTCTGCTTTAGCTCTTCGTTTCGATCTAGTTTTTTCTCGATAGAAACGAGCCTGTTTATCGCCGTTTCATAATTTCCAGGCATTTCGATGTTTTTCTTTTTCCATAGAAGCGCTGTTTCTATGTGCCCGTCTTCCAACTGACGGGTGCTGCTATTTAGTATTTCTTCGGCTTGCTTCTCTGGATCGGAATCTGGTTTTCTCGGATTTATCATTAAAGATTCCAGCGCGAAGTATTCGCGGAGTTGGTCATTTATATTCTCCTCGCTCGTGTACAGCTCGTTGGCCGTGTGGACGCGCTGATGCGGGGCTTTAGTGTGCGCCCCGTGTAGCACCCATCCCAGTTCTGTGAGCGAGGCTATTGGCTGGTGCGGTGGACCTCTGCGTACTTGTGTGGCTATTAAGAGTCTCCAGTTGTCTTGTCCTATCAGGATCCTAGGGTTGCCTGAATCATATGTCAATTGATCCTTTAAGCCTTTCAAATGCTTACAATTTTCTATGTCTGTTGCACGCACAGTCTGCGGCCCCAAGTTTAGGCTGGCGACCGTGCGTGCTCTGAATGGCACCCTTTTTCTATGGAGACTCTTTAGTGACACTTTGACTCTTTGGGAGTCCGGCGAATCGAGGGTAGTGTTCCCGATAGCTGTGATCTTGAATGGGTCCAACCGCCCTTTAGCTCCAATTTGATCGGCAATCTCTTGATCCATTAACGAGACTGTCGACCCATCATCCAGCAGAGCGTGTGTGTTTATTGCTCCCGCCGGTCCAATTACTCGAACTGGAATTATCTTCAAGTAAGCTTGATGCTTTGATACAGCGAATGAGTTTGCCACTGTCTCTTGAGGTTCTTTTAGTGGGCCCTCTGTCTTTTCCTTTCTATTATTATGAAGGAGTCGATTGTGTGTCGCGTTGCATCCTTTTATTCCACACTTCGTGGTTTCGCATCTGTGTGTCTGACTTCTATAACGCAGACACCGGAAACATAAATTCCTTTGCTTGGCGAGTTGCCATCTTTTATCAATATCTGCCTCTTTAAACTTGTTGCAGTCGGATCCGTAATGACCCTCTTTTTCGCACACACTGCATTTCGGAGACGGCTTAGTGGTAGCCGTGTGCGTCCTATGCACTGGACGATTATTTTGCGCTCCGCTTATGATCTCAGGAGGCGCAAATGCACTACAGTAGCGAGCCTGTTCGGTGATAAATTCACTGAAGGAACCGAGGTCTGGTCTTGAGTCATACTTTTCTGTATAAATTCTATACCACTGCGCGCGTATAGAGTTTGGCAGTTTGTCTGTGAGGTGTCGTAGCAGCTCTGCGTTAACGAGGTAATGGTCTCGCTTGAGTGCTCGAAGTGTGACGACGCTTCCCCTCACTTTGCTCGCGAATGTACAAATATCTCTGGGTGCCTCTGTACAGCGTGGCAATCCCCGTAATTTATCGGTTTCTGCTTGCGCGATTGAATCTGGACGCCCAAATTGTAGCTCCAGTTCTCGCATAATCTCATCTGGTTTAGCATGCCCGATGAGTTCCGAACTAACTGTTTCCAAGGCTCTTCCTTGTAGACTTCTTCGTAGTCTAGCAGTATTTTCTATGTCATTGAAGTAGCCTCGGGTTGTTTCATAAATGGCACGGAACGAAAGCCATTCAGTATGTGCTCCGCTAAAGCTCGGCAGTGTCATTATCGCTTTTGATGCTGCGAAAGTATTTGACGATGCACTCTCTGGTTTTGGTTTATCAGCGAGTGCGGCTATAGCGGACGTGAGCTCCGATATGAATGGTCGGAGCACCCTGTCTTCATTGCTGACAGGTGCCTGGTTAGGTCTTTTTATTATGGGATTCTTGGTTGCTTCTTCCGGTTGGGGATCCTGGTAGGCGAGCTCTGATACAGCAGGTAGGAGCTCCCTTTCTTCATCAACCTTCGAATCCTTGTTTGTGAGCTTCATCGGCGGCTCACTGAGGTCGACAACCTCCGGGGGTGGCTTTGTGATGTTTTTATTAAGTGGGGCCTCCCCACCGGTGGTTGCGCCTTGCGTTGGCTTTTGTTTGGCTACAGAATTTTCGAGCCAAGATCGGACATACTCACTTTTGGAGTGACCATCCTCATCATAGTCGTCCGATTCATCATCTTCTTCAGCCATTTGTAATGAGATCTGTGCGAGTTCCAATTTTATTCTCACCACTTCCTCACGAGCCTTCAAAACCCTTTTATTGGGCCGAGTGGTCTTCTTTGACCTTGTACTTTTATCGGTGTGGCCCCTTGGTGGTTCTTCGGCGCGGGAATATACCCGGGCTGTTGGCGGTGATTCACAGCGAATGTCATCATTGCCTTCTATTTGTTTCCTCTGCTTCGGTGTACCAGCTTTAACAACGGCTGGCACTGGCAGGTGTACCCCCCCATCGCAGGGGCAAGCTATCTGTTCTCTCTGCTTCGGTGTACCGGCTTTAACAACGGCTGGCACAGGCAGGAGTACCCCCCCATCGCGGGGGCAAGCTGGCGCCTCAGCGCCTTCTGTTGTGGATGGTGAGCGTGGTGGCATCTGGTGGCGGACGGTGTCGGTATTGTCCGACGGTCCATCATCCAGACCGACAGTCCACGCCATGGTTCCCCTTCCTTGCGAACGAGTGATCGGCATCTTGATTCTGAAATTTCAGCAACTTTAAAACGGTAGTGATTATTTACCCGGTTCCGAAATACTAACGGATTGACGAATCCCGTTCGAATGACCAGCGTATGTGGTCCGGTGTATACGGATGATTCGGCTCAAAGGACCATAAAATGGTCCGGCTGGCAGTTCAATCGGAAGTATCCGGCTCGAAGGACCATAAAATGGTCCAGCCGGCAGTACAGGTGGAAGAATCCGGCTCGAAGGACCATAAAATGTGTTGGCCTCGGCTCGGAGTTTAAACGGAAGAATCCGGCTCGAAGGACCATAAAATGTGGCCTCGGCTCGGAGTTTAAACGGAAGAATCCGGCTCGAAGGACCATAAAATGTGCCGGACGGGCGTAATTCTCCGGAGTAAATGTTGTCGGAGATACCCCGCGAGTCGCTCACGTCCTACACCTGTAGGTTCCAGACTCCTCCAACTGCCGTCTTTCACTGCCGTCTCTTTGGTTGCTGCGGATAAACTGTGGACTGAGGTTCAAAATTAAAATGCACGATTTGTAAATTAAAATAGCAAGGGAGTGGCCAGCGGATCGACTAATTAATTTGTCGCGAGATTTTACACTGTTATTTATTTATCACTATTTTTCAACTATGATTGTTCACTATATATTTTAAAACACAGATTTAATTAAACACACAGTAATATTAAAATTTCTATTGGTTTTCTAAAATTTCTATTCGTATTTTTAAAATATCTGTTGGTAATATTAAATTTCTATTGGCAGTAACAAGTTTCTATTGGTATTCTCTACAATTTCTATTGGTAATTTTAAATATCTATTGAAAGTAACAAATTTCTATTGGCAGTATCCAAAATTTCTATTGGTAGCAGCTGGTTTTCTAACACTACTGACTAGCAGCTATTAATCAACTAAAATTAGTTGAATTTAAACACTTTTGTAACTGCGAATATCAGTTACCACTTTTTCCGTCTAGCTAACACTTTTCACGAAATGTAACGGCGAAATTTCCGTTACCACTTTTTTCAGCTAGCTAACACTTTTTCACTATATGTAACTGCGAATATCAGTTACCACTATTTTTGGCTAGCTGACACTATTTTTCTATGTGCAACTGAGAATTTTCAGTTGCCACTTTTTCCGACTATGTGTAACTGCGATTTTTCAGTTACGACCTTTTTCGGCTAGCTAAACTTTTCTATTTCACTTTAACTTTTCACTGTGTTCTGCTACTAGTCACTTCAGCTACTACCGGATACTGCTGCTTGTTACTGGTAGTTCTTCCTACTACAATGTTACTATGATTTGCCCCCATAAGGTAGACTTCGGCTATACTCTATAGAGAGCCGCTTGCCAATTCCCATTTGCCTCTTTATTTTCAATCATTTTTCTTTATGCAAATGGCACAAATTGCAACTTTTCTATATAATACAAATCTTAACTCTAACATGCTATACATCATTAAATAGACATTTTTGTTCTACATTAGTATGCGATAAAGGATAATTAATATATTTACATTTAACAAAGTTATTCATTGAAATGTCCTAAACTTTTACACTAATTGGTCATATTAATTCTTTAATTATCCTATAACTTTTAAATCGTGCTTAATTATACAAAATATTTCTTTATTATAACGATCTATACATCATATGCTAACTAAATACCATATTTACAACTCTTTTCAGACATAAAATTATTCTCATTAATTTTTTGCTTAAAACTATTACGCAGTTAATTTAAATTTCCAGAAAGTTCTATAGCGCGGCGCGCTGTGATTGGTCGATATTTTCTTAAACAAAATAAAGTTGTTTAAATTAACTATTGTCAAATCGACCTTCTATACAAACATATTGAGAGTTGTAAATACATGGTAAAACTATATTTAATACATTATTTAGTCAATTTTTCCGTATTTTCATTTTTTAAACAAATAAATATTCCTTAATCACTTTCTCGTTTAAAGTCATTTTTGCCGTTGTGAACAGTCATTTTGGCCGTCTCGAACAAAATCATTGAATCTGAGAAAGAAGTCCCTCAAAAAATATTAGTGTAATATTATGCAATAATCTACACAAATAAATAATTGAAGTGTCTGTTTGTAATTTCAAAATAACAGCTTTTAACTAAATGCATATAAAAGTATATACGGTTGTAAGGGGCTGCAGCGGACTGTATGTGATTTACTTTATTTATGTATTTATGTATGGGTGAAATATTACTAGGGACGTTTATTTGAAAGGAAAGGTGGTACACTTTAGAATACTATATTTAACTATTTACAAGCGGCAGTTGACTATTGACTATATACTTTATGCACAAGAGGAAATCTTCTAGGGAGTCTTGACTGTCTTGTTTTCTTGGATCTTCTTTCTTGAGTGCCGCTGTCGAATCGAATGAAGCGGAAACCAAAAGGCCCTTTTTAAATATTCCCGCGGCGGGTGTCTCGGCACGAGCGTGTTCTCACTAGGTGTGCTACACACTGATTGGTCGGCGACCTCACGTGATGTCCGGGTGGTGTGCGGGGTGTGGGTGGGACGTAACATGGTTTGAAGGGGCGACGGGGCGGCGGCTCTCCTCACCGTCCGTAACATCCTCCCCCCGGCGTAGTATGCGAGCCTACTCTTCTCTCGGGAGGACGGCGATCTTCCTCACCGTTCGTCGCAGCACTCCGCCTCTGCTTCGAATCTCCAAGTTTTTTAGTTTAGTTTAGTTTACGACGGACTGTTTTCCGCAACTCCACGTCTATGCGCGTATATTGCGTGTGGGCAGGAATAATATGATTATTCGAGCCATGAGATCTCCCCGAAGATGTTGCATGCAACTTCGGGGAGTGTGCCGAGATGTTTAGCCCTGTACGTAGCGACCTCCAAACATTTCAATAGCACGTAGGCCGTCGTTTCTTCTTTCCCCA